GGTACAGTAAAAGTATGCATGATCGAGAGAAAGTGGAGTGTGGGTAGTTTTTCTCATAATTAGATGTTGAGGTTATCCAGTGTAACTAAATGATTGTTTCAAGAGAGCAAAAGGAAATGCTACTACATTGTATTGTAGAATTAGTTTGTGCAAGATGTAAAATGCCAGTCTGGGCAACTGAGGTGTGGATTAGATGAATTCGTGCAAGTTAATGATAAAATGCCAGTCTGGGCAACTGAGGTGTGAATTAGATGAATTCATGCAAGTTGTTGGCTATTCATGGTGATTATTAACACCAGTATCAGACACAGTTTGCCACATCAGTACCAATCGCAGGAGTGGGAAGGTATTGTTTCTTTTACAGTCTATTGATGGACTTCCAATTTGGGAGAAAGCTCGCTTAGCTACTTCCTCGTCCTGGTCCAGTTGAGTTCATAGGTTCATATTTGTTAAGTCTGTAAAAGTCAACAAGAATGAAATACTCATGGAAGACAATTACGACGTGCATTTATTGTAATGGTGAACAAAAATCAGCGAGCATACAGTTTAAATCAAGTTCAGTGTATTTGCCAGTCGTGTAATGGATCAGAGGCCAATAAGGTGGAAGGGGGGAAAAGACTTGATGAAGTTCATTGGAGACAGCAGGACAGAGCCAGCAGTTCCAGAGCTTCGGAGCACCTGTTCTGAACCTGAATTTGTCAAATGGCAGGACAAATAAGAATTTTCCCCAGTATCTTAAATCTTTGAGAGATTCACATAGAATTGTTCTCAATGACCTGGCCCTAAGTCACATGCAGCTTAAATGTTGCAGTCAACACATAGTTCTCAGCAATTAATGATAACCAATAAAGCTGTGGCAGCTTGGGGCCTAATTTCCTTTGTATGCTCTGAACCATTCTGTAGTCTGATTGCACCATTCTGAACTAACCAGCTGAGGTTTCCGACACCCTTTGAAAGGAGGTCCACATAATGTGTCATGTTGTCTCAGTAACAAGCATACATTGATGAGCCACAGATTTGGAACTGCTGAGAGGTGAATAGTGTTGGTTATATTGTTGCAATGGCATCTGTTAAGGGGTGGGATATATTAGGCAGCAGGGATCAGTGCTTGAGTTTCATGTGTCGGAAGCAGGAAATATGGACAAGTAAAAGTTCGGAGTGACTTTAGCAGCGGCCAGATAGTGATGGCTAGATGACTGGGCAGAACATCTCTGAAACAGCAAGTCTTGTGGAGTGTTCCTGGTATGCAGTGATTAGTACTTGCCAAAAGTTGTGAAAGGAAGGACAGCTGGTGAACCAGTGTCATGGTTGTGGGCACCCAAGGCTCATTGATGCATGTGGAGAGTGAAGGTTAGCCTATGCTCTGATCACACAACTACTGTAGCTCAAATTGCTGAAAAATTGAATGCCCATGATAGAGAGGTGTCAGAACACAGTGCACTGCAGTTTGCTGCATATGGGGCTATGTAACTGGATTGGTCAGAGTGCCTATGATGTCCACCTCCAAAAGCCCCTATAATGTGAGTATCAGAACTGGACTATGGAGCGGTGGAAGAAGTTTGCCCAGTCTGATTAATCATATTTTCTTTCAGATCAGGTTGTATGGCCGTGTGTGTTTGTGTGCAACATTTATCGTGCGCGCAACATTTACCTGGGGAAGACATGGCAGCAGGATGCATTATGCACTGCCAGCTGAGGCAGTACTGTGCTCTGGGCAATGTTCTACTGGGAAACCTTGGGTCCTGGCATTCATGTGGATGTTACTTTGACATGTACCACCTACCCAGAGTTTGTTGTAGACCACATACACACCCCTTCACAGCAAGGTGTCACTTGATGGCAGTGGCCTCTTTCAGCAGGATATTGCATCCTGCCACACTGCAAAAAATGTTTTGAGAATGGTTTGAAGAACATGAGAAAGAGTTCAAGGTATTGCCTTGACCTCCAAATTCCCCAGATCTCAATCTTCACCTCACAGTTTGCAGAATTTAAAGGATCTATTGCTAATGTATTGGTGCCAGATACCTCAGGACATGTTCAGAGGTCTTGTGGAGTCCATTCCTTGACGCATCAGAGCTGTTCGACAGCACCAAGGGGGACCTAGGCAGATGGTTTTAATGTGGCTGATCAGTGTATTTCATTGTGGTTAAATCAGACAGAAATAATAGTCACAATTTATGTACTAGCCTCACTACTCTAAAAGCATTCCTAGCTGCTGTTGAAATCTGGGCACCCAAGTTCAGGGTTGAATCTAGGAGTACATCCAAACCAAATCTGAATCTTCAAAGCAAATGCAACCCCACTGGAAACAAGCTAAATCCCTATCCAGCCTTTGGAGCAACCAGGAGTACAGGTAAATTTCATCTAGTATATGATGACATTAAGTGCTGATACACAACTTGGAACACTTAATTTGATTTATACACTGGTGGTTTTATGTGTTTTTTAAACGGCATAGAGAACAAAGTGGAAGCTGGGGGGGAATACAATAGGTAACGGCTAAAAGTATTGGAACAGGATATTCCTAGTAGTACCATCTAACAAAACGGTTCCTACACTCCCAGAAAGAAACTACAGTACAAGTTTGCTGATACACAACTTGGAACACTTAATTTGATTTATACACTGGTGGTTTTATGTGTTTTTTAAACGGCATAGAGAACAAAGTGGAAGCTGGGGGGGAATACAATAGGTAACGGCTAAAAGTATTGGAACAGGATATTCCTAGTAGTACCATCTAACAAAACGGTTCCTACACTCCCAGAAAGAAACTACAGTACAAGTTAAAAACGGTTTGGAACAGGATATTCCTAGTAGTACCATCCTACACTCCCAGAAAGAAACTACGAGTGAAAAACGGTTCTTCCAAGTTCCTACTGTTAAATGGTATTAGATGCTGCAGGGTTGGCTGAGACCTGTCCAGAACATACCCATTTGCTTTCTAGGGTAAATACTGATTAAAAACTATTTTAGTGGGAATAAATTCATAGTTTTTAGACAAATGCATTGACTAATCTGTCACCTGAATCAGGCATGTAAAAGGTGATTGAAATGGCCTGGAATTGCTTGTTTCTACTGGCATTAATAGCATTAAGAATGTGAAGGGAAAATGACCTTGATCATAGAGGAAGGGTAGAAAATTGGTTAAGGGGAAGGACACTAGTCAAGGGCCATGCACTAGACATCCTGGTGCTAATGGCTTGATCCTGACATCACCACCTCTTTCAGCTAAGGTTTTGGGTCTGGAAAGCAAAGCTCTGCTTGTTTCGAAGGCACTGGATGAATGTGCTGTGTCCCTCTCAGCCTCTGTGCAGGGAAGGTGAAGCCCAACCTCCGATCCATGGCCCGGTGCCAGTCCATGGCCTGAGCTGGACCGGGCCGTGGAGAGAGACCTCCTGTCCCGGGCCTGAGCTGGACCGGGCCGTGGAGACCTGTCCCGCCCCCCGCATGCACTCACCCCCGCACAGCCTGTTTGCGCCTGCATTCGAGCGCAAGAAAAGCAGCCTATCCAGCCGGCAGTTCTAAAGCCAGAATAAATCCAGCTTTGCTCTTAAGGCAGTGGTCCCCAACTTTTTTAGCCCCGCGAACCGGCTGGAGGGGGGTGCCTTAGGAGCAAAGCTGGATTTATTCTGGCTTTAGAACTGCCGGCTGGATAGGCTGCTTTTTCAGGCCCTCCTTGCATAGAAATGGAATAAGCTGAAGCTGGCTTCCCAGCATCGGCCTCATCTTTCTCAAGGGGTGAGGGGAGAGTGACTGGGGAACCTGTGTAGATTGGATTCTAACCATGGGTGGAGGATTCCCTTCCTCAAATGTGGAGCAAGTTTTTAAGGCAAATAGATTTCTGTGCATTGTACAGCTTTGGAATGTATCAAATATACAGTACCAGCTTTCCCCCTCTGCCCTCAAGGGCCAAACGGGCATCTCAGTTGTGCCACTACAGCAGTCTTAAACCATGATTCTTCATTTAATAACTTCATTTCCAGATGCTAATTGATTGTAGAATGAGGAAAGGCACCATTGCCTGATTTATGCTATGGCACCCTAGCATCTGGATTTTCAGTTGAGGAATTTGCGAATAGTTACTCATTTACAGTGCATGATATTCTGTGTTATCAGGTGTCAGCTGGAATTGTGCAAGAATTGTCAAATATCCATGAATGCATGCGCGCCACAGGGAAATGTCCTATTAATCACGTTTTTAAGCTCTAGAATATTCCGAGGAGTCCTACGCAGGCACAGTCTAAACCCATTTGTGTGGATTCACAGAGGAGCACTCGAAGAACCATGGTTACAGGTAAGTAACCTCCCTATATACATCATAATGAAGGTTGGTTCTTGTTTAAAAAGTTCTAAAAACAATAAAATAATGCCTAAAGAAATTGTGTGTGGAAAATTTTTGTTGCATACTTCTAAAAATAAAAGTCTAAAACAGGGGTGTCCAACCTTTCACCTTCCCTGGGCCACATTAGAAGATGAAAATTTGGTTTGGGCCGCACATAAGTTTGGTTTGGACCGCATGGGGGGGGGGCAGCCCTAGCCGTCCTCCGCAGCCCTACTCCAAGTGCACTTACCGGCAGCTGCGATCTCAGACAGCAGAGGCTGCCAGCTTCAACTCCGGCAGGATTATGGGGCTGGGAGGGGGTCCACATATTGATGGGGATGGCGCAATGCAGTCACGCAGCCCCCTGTCCCCTCCCGCTCCTTCCTTCCTTCCCCCTCCCCCCCCCCCCCCGTTGTTACGTGCCCCCGCTGCGTTCCCGC